CAAGAATCTTGGGAAACTCTGAAAAGTATGATCATAGAAGCCCAGACCAGCATAATACCACTGAGAAAGAAAAACAAGAAATCCAAGAAGAAACCAGCATGGCTGCACATAGATTTCTCTGGCAAATTGAAAGAAAAAAAGGACAAGTACAAAAAATGGAAAGAAGGACATACAACTAAGGCAGAATATCAGCAGATAGCCAGAATCTGCAAAGACAAAGTCGGGATAGCAAAAACTCAGAACGAACAAAGACTTGCAACAAGAGTCAAAGATAGTAAAAAAAAGTTTCTTCCAACATATAAATAACAAGAAAAAAATCAAGGAAACAGAGAGAACTAAGAGAAAAGGCAGCAAGGAAGTAACAGGCAACAGAGAGAAAGCAGAACTGCTTAACTCATTCTTTGCATTGGTTTTCATGCAAAAAGAAACTATAGCTCAACCCACCAAAAACATAACTGTAAAAGACAGAACAGAAATAAAAGTTAAAATAAGCAAAAAAATATTAACAGAACACCTGTCTGATCTTGAACACAAATCACCAGGGCCTGATGGATTACATCCCAGAGTTTTAAAGGAGCTGGCAGAGGTCATCTCAGAACCACTGCACCATATCTTTCAAAAATCCTGGAGCACCGGGGAACTACCAGAGGACTGGAAAAGAGCTGATGTGGTTCCCATCTTCAGAAAAGGAAAAAAAAACAGACCCAGGAAACTATAGACCAATCAGCCTAACATCAATACCTGGGAAGATACTGGAAAAGATAATAAAAAAACAGATCTGCCAATATCTAGAAACAAGTAAAGTAATAACTAGCAGTCAGCATGGGTTTGTTAAGAACAGATCATGCCAAACCAATCTTATTTCATTCTTCAACATAGTGACTAAATTAGTAGACCAGCAAAATACTGTGGACATAATATATTTAGATTTCAGCAAGGCATTTGACAAAGTAGACCACAACCTACTTCTTAGTAAGCTAGAGAAAAGTGGAATAGATAGCACCACCACTAAATGGACTCACAACTGGCTGACAAACCATACTCAATGAGTAGTCCTTAATGGGTCTAAGTCTACATGGAGGGAAGTAAGCAGTGGGGTGCCACAAGGTTCCGTCTTAGGCCCAGTACTCTTCAATATCTTCATTAATGACTTAGATGAAGGAATAGAAGGGGAACTTAACAAATTTGCAGATAATACTGAGCTGGCAGGAATAGCTAACACCCAAGAAGATAGGCTCAAGATCCAGATGGATCTTGACAGACTAAAACACTGGGCCGTATCTAACAAAATGAAATTCAATGTAGAGAAAAGTAAAGTCCTACATTTAGGCAAGAAAAACCAAAAGTACTCATACAGACTGGGTGAAACCAAGCTCAATAGCGGGAACTGGGAGAGGGATCTTGGAGTCCTAGTGGACAACCAGCTAAATATGAGCCAGCAGTGTGCAGCAGCAGCCAAACAAGCTAATGCAATCCTAAGTTGTATTAACAGAGGGATACAATCAAGATCAAGGGAAGTACTAATGCCACTCTATAAAGCCTTAGTAAGACCACACCTAGAGTACTGCATCCAGGTTTGTTCACCACATTACAAAAAAGATGTTGAGACTCTAGAAAAAATACAGAGAAGAGCAACCAGGATGATTAGGGGACTGGAGACTAAAACATATGAAGACCGGTTACAGGAACTGGGCTTGGCTCGTCTAGTAAAGAGAAGGACATGGGGAGACATGATAGTGGTCTTCCAATATTTGAGGGGCTGCCACAGAGAGGAAGGGGTCAAGCTATTTTCTAAAGTGCCTGTAGGCCAGACAAGGAATAATTATGGAAATGAACAAGGAGAGATTTAACCTGGAAATAAGAATAAACTTTCTGACAGTGAGAACAATCAACCAATGGAACAGCTTGCCCTCAGAAGTGGCGGGAGCACCATCACTTGAGACTTTCAAGAAGAGACTGGACTGCTATTTGTCAGAAATGGTGTAGGGTCTCCCACTTGGGTGGGGGGTTGGAGTAGATGACCTACAAGATCCCTTCCAACTCTGATTATCTGTTACCATGTCCTGTATCTGCTACATGCTGCCAATGCATATAATTGAGCTATATGGTTGGTATCTCCCGCTTACTTAATCTGTAGTGTTATGAGTGTAATTTTTAGCAAATTATGCTCTTCTTATCTTCCCATTAATGAATTCTGAAATGAAGAGAAATTAAATACGTTTATGTGTAGAAAGACTATGAACTTTGTTTCACTCTGATAAATGCCAATATAGAGTCTCAATCATCCAGGTTGTGGTTGTCCCAAAGGTGCTTTTCCCAAAAAGGCAACTGGACTTGAAAATGTTTCACTTCTCAATCAAGAGGCTTCTTCAGTTCTAACTGACTGGTGGGGAATGGAAGGATTTATATTCTTTGTAGTTATTTGGTCATTAGCACTCTGAGAGTTGTTAAGGCCACTTGAAGGTTTATCTCACTGAACGAAAGCTGTTCAGTTTTGACTTAGATGGCGTCTTTCGTCCCTCGCTGTCCAGAATGTGGACTTGGCTTTCTTCAAAAGAGTGATCTTTGTCTTTCAAATTCAGATGGACTGCTAAATCTTGTCCTGATGATTTTGTTCTCCTGTGTTCTGCTTTGAATTTGTGAAGTGGCTGTTTTGTTTCCCCAATTACAGGTCTACAAATGTCTTGCTGCATTGCACTGCGTACACCACATTGCTAAATTTGTGTCTGGTGTTTTGTACTTGGGGTGGACAAGCTTCTGCCTTAAAGTATAATTAAGTTTAAAATGTGCCTGTATATTGAAAATGCTCCTGAGATTTTCAGATATTCCTGCAACATATGGAATTACAATCTGCTCCATTTGTTGTTTTCTTTTTTTGTTTGCTGGATCTTTTTGTGGATTTCTGAATTTCACTTTGGTATTTTGGACAGATTCCTGGGATTTGAACTCTAGTTGTGTTCCCTTTGCACAATATCCAGTCTGTCCCATATTTCACCAAGTCTTTAGATGGCGTTACATGTATCTTTTATTTTTTGGTAATCCCCCAAATTATGGTAATTTGCTCATTCAAGTGAATATTTTATCTGCTAAGGCACTCTGTGCTAAGGCATTGCTTTAATGTTCCTAGTTTGGATCACTGACAAATGCTCAAAATAGCTGACTCTGATGTGAGGCTGATTACCAGTTTTCAGAACATGTGGGGGTTTGTTCAGTGCAGCTATTTTTCACAAATCAATAGTGCAGCACTGTTACTGATGGAGAAACTTTTAAATAGTACAGTATACAAAATGGAAAGATGTTAATTAACACTGTTGATTATTATGTACATCTATACATCTCGACATATCTCAGTGTGTGTCTTTTAAATTTTCCTTTACTCTGAGATAAAAAAGTACTGTTGATTATGATGCACAAAAGAATAATTTCCAAAGCAACTTTCTTTTCTTACCCGTCATCAAATAAGTTATATATGTCTTTCTCACACAGTTTTGTTTGTAGTTCTACAAGCTGAACACTAATGTTCGGTTTCCTGCCATATTGGGATGGGAAGAGGTAAAAATTATAGCGTAAGAACTAAAATATGTAGATCATAGTTAAAATCACAAAAAAGCAAAACAAAACAAAAACCCACCAAAATTCCTCCCGCTCATTTCCCCCCTAAAATTTCAGATCTGGTTTTGGATGGTGAATGGTTTGCTTACTCTTTACTGTATAAAAACCAACCAACCAACCAGATGGTTAGCTTCGTCTGCCAGAATTACATTAGAAATTAGTAATATATTATCTCTCAATCAATTTTATTTCTTTACTTGGGGTTTTTCTTTTGCTGAAATGTTAAATAATGAAATTCAGGAAGAGAATATAAGATGAAATGCTGTGCAGATTGTGTAGTACTAACAATTATGCAAACATAAAACTCTGTAAGATAGTGGATGAAAATAAACCAAGACTTTGGATGCAAAATTAGCAAACAGCCAGACACAAGCTTTCCACTTTCAATTTTCTTGACTCTTGCTGAGCTAAGTGACCTCCAAAATATCTCAGAGCTGGCAGAAATGACCTTCCCATCCACATAAATTTTACTGCCACAGTGGTTACAGCCATCTTTCAGTAATAATAAAACCATGAACAGAAATTAAACAGAGCCATCAGCCCCCATATTGAAAACAAATCCCAAGTAATTATTCATATGGGGGACAGATATGTCCATCCAGGGACAATATAGATTTAGACACAGGTACAGTTGTTTTCTATTTGAACAAAGCAATATCTGAAGGAAGTGGGCCTGATATCTGTCTTTGGCTCAGGAGTCTTAAGTTCTGCACCTCATGTTAAAATTATATTCAGTGGCTGATGCCTCTGTTGTATCAGTTGTTGAGGAATAGCAGTGGGAGAAGGTTGCTACACTCCATCCTGTATGTGGGCTTCCCAGAGGCTGCTGTTGGAAAAAACAGGTTGGATTCATCTAGGCCTTGGATTTAATCCAGCAAGGTTTTTCTTTCACATGTGTTGCTCAAACACAGTTGCTATTTTTGGACCTCTTTGTTATTGAGGATTTTTAGAGTGGCATATAACCAGTTAGATATATTATGTTTCTATTTATTTCCGAAATAAAACCAAGTGTGAATTTGAAAAGGATTGTTGTAGTGTAAAACAACCCTAAGACTCATAGACTGGGAGCATTAAGTGTTGTATAGACTAAAATGATGTGCAAAGGTAAGTAAGAAATAATAGGATTAATTGCAGGATAATTATGCTTGAGTGTCAGTTCAGAGAAGAACAGACATTGCAAAAAGATTTATGACTATTATTATGAGTTCACATTTTTTTCAATATATGATAATACTGTACTGTTTCTTGGCTTTTTCTTTGTAATCTGCCTTTTTGAAATAGTCTTGAAAACATCACTTGCTGCAATGTATTCTTGGGCCCATAAAAAAAGCTGAAACCTTTCTAAGATACTTTTGGTCCTCTTTTAAAACATTTCAATTCATTCCCAGGCAAATCAGGATGCAGTGATCAGCCGGGCTCCTGATCAGAAAGATGATCGAGCCATCAGTCTCCAGAGTACATCAGCAGTTTATGATCTTCTGAGTATCACTCTGGGCAGAAGAGGACAATATGTCATGCTTTCTGAGGTATTTATTTATTTATTTATTTGGTGCCATCCAACCTCAAAGTGGCTCACACTAGAATAAGCAAAATATGAAACAAAATAATAAAACAGATGAACCAGACTAAAAAAGTAGGAAAGGAATGAGATAGTGAATCCAGCAAACCACACAGAACACATACCACTATCAGGAGGTTCCAGCCACTTCACTCCAAGGCCTGACTGAACAGCCAGGTCTTTAAGACTCTCCAGAACATGATCAGGGTGAGAGCCATCCGGTTCTCAGAGGCAGCAGCACTCCAGAAGGCAGATGCCATGACAGAGAAGAGATATGCTTCCTGGCTCCTGATAGATGACTTTATTTGATTGAAGGAACCTGGAACATGCCAACCCTGTCAGCTCATATTGGCTGGATAGAAGCAAGCTAGCAACCAATACAACTTGCAGAGAATAATTATCACATTCAGGAAAACTTGGAGTTTCTAAATTGTCTTTCAGGGTAAAATCAATGTAGATCTCATTGAAATAGTCAACCTGTGAGATGATTAAGACGTGAGTGACTAAGGGTTTCCTGGTCCAAGAGAGGATGCAATTGGTATACCAGGTGAAATACATTTTGTATTTCTGGGTCCCCCTTTTTGTAAATTTGCTAAATTTGCAAACTTTTAATTTGCAAATTTTGTAAACATTAAGGCCCCCCTCAAAATATAAGTGTTTGCTTATATTATATTATATAATATATTTTATGCTTATAATATATTATATATTATATGCTTCATTATATGTTTTATCTATTGGAACTATTTTTGCATGTTATATTTTTTGAAGAGATATCTAGAGTCCAGCATTAAAGAAAACTATAGAACCTTGCATCTTAATAATTGAAGGCATTGAAAACACTTTATTGGACCCCATTTGTGCACTTTATCCAGCTCAGATAGCCCTTTCTTCATGCATGCTTTGTTTTTAAGCCTTAGAACACTGCACTATCTGAATGTGTCTCCTCCTTCCATCTCTCTCTCCCTCCTCCCCTGCATATTTATACATATAATCTATACTTTTTGTCCTCAGTGTTTAGAACGAGCAATGAAGCTTGCATTTGGTGAATTTCATTTGTGGTACCAGTTGGCTCTGGCCATGACAGCTTGTGGCAAGGTAAGATTTAAATAAGCAATGTAGATCAGGGCTGTCAAACTAGCGGTTCATGGATGGATATGTCATGCGCTAGCCACACCCACATCTGGCTGAGCGAAAGAGAAAAAAGTTGCGATATGTCACATGACAACACCATGCCGACGCAAGTTTGACACTCCTGATATAGGTAGAATTATTGCTGTTATCTGAACTTGAAAATAAAAGGCAATCTGAAATATTAGTGTTATAATCATGCAAGTATATTAGGTCCCTTTTTTCCTATGTAATATAGTAGTAATTTGTAACAATGATAGTTTTTAATATAGATGCATTGAATGCCTAATAGAGATAACTAAAAGTAAAGCAGTAGGTTCTGCATATTCAGAGAATACTTACAGTATATATTTATACTATAGATAATATGAAAATTTGTGAAGTAGAGAAAATGGCAAATAATTATTTTTTAAAATATGATGAACATAAGCCTATCTGCTTCAGTCCAAAACACAAGGCATCCAAGTTTTTTCTTATTAAAAAGTCTACCAAAAGTTACATAATCCACCTTCAGTTTTCTTATGTCCTTGAAATTTCAGCAGCCAAACTTAAATGGAGAAAAATGTTCTACTTTTGTTGCTGAAGAAATGGGTCTCAAAAACCCTTGCCAATTTATGAAAATCACCTAATGATCAGCCAGAAAATTTAGAATAGATGTTCTTCTGTCTAGATCTCTTTCGGGTTGATTCCTAAACTGAGGAAATATCCTAGAATTAAGCGACTCTATTAGGACTATATAAAGAAAACTTCCTGATAGTAAGATCTATACGGCAATGGAAAAGTCTAAATCTGGAGGCTGTGAGGTATTGATATCTAAAGATTTTTAAGAACAACTAGATGGCCACCTCTCATGAATAGTTTAATTGGTTTTTCTGCACATTGAGGAGGATTGTAGTAGCTCATTGTTCCTAAACCAAGGCAATACATTTCACACATCTTAAAGTTGCCAAGATTGAAAAACATTAAATTAGATGATCCTTGTGATGCCTTTCCTCTAGAATTCTACCAGTCTATGAAAGACTCTGGCAGAAAAAAAAGTCCTCCTTTATCTGATAGTCTTTAATCCTACTTCCAAAATGTTTCTAAGAGAGTCATACTATATTCAAGAGGGAAAGATATAATTGGGAGAACTGTGGAAATTACAACTTTTACTACGCACCATGATGCTAGAGATTCAGGGTTAGGGGAAGAATGATCAGCAAAGATAATCTTATCTAGTGAAGACACTAAAAACAAAATATCTTTTTAAAATTACCCTGGACCCACAGCCAAGTCCAAACTTTATTAAAAACAATATCTTACATTTGATGTTTACTTTCATGTATGTAGTGCTGAAAATGGGACTCATAACAGAAAAAGTTTGATGAATCCTTCTATTTCCCCAGACACCTTCACATTTTGAAAATAAATTTATTCTTTTAAATATAAGCAGATAATCTCTTAGCCTATATAGATTATGCTCGTTGCTTAACAATGGTTGAGAATTACAACATCCTTGGAAAAGATCCTTGGAATAAGTGACTTATGACCCATCCTTGAAGTTATGATTGCTGCACCACTCCCATGGTCACATGATTGAATTTAGGCACATGGCAGCTGGCTCACCTTTATGATGATTGCAGTCTTGCCATTATGGGATCATGATTTGTGACCTTCCCAGCCAGCGTCCAACAAGCTAAGTCAGTTCAGGGAACCTGATTCTGTTAAAGTCCATGGTAAAAAAAGGTTATACAATTTTATACGATCACATGATGACTCACTTTAAGACTGCACTGACTTGCAATGAAAATTCCAATCCCAATTGTGGCTATAAGTTGAGGACTACCTTGACTATAAGTAGTCCTTGACTTACAATCATTTATTTAATGACTGTTCAAAGTTATGACGGTGCTGAAAAAAATGGCCTATAACTGCTCCCTACACTTACGAATGTTGCAATGTCCCCATGATCATATAATCAAAATTTGGATGCTTGGCAAAAGCCATACATTTCCAATAATGGCTGCATGCTGGGGTCACGTGGTCCCCATTTCTATGACCTTTCCAGGGGCCTTCTGACAAAAAAATGTTTGGGTGAAGCACTAGCCAGATTTTATTCTTCACTAAGGCATTGAAATATGTATAAACCTGATGTTATGCATTTGTTGATTTAGATAAAATAGAAGGTAAGTGAACAGAATTAAATTAAGGAATCTTTTGCATGGATCTGGTGGTGAAAGTTGGTCATTGAATGCAAAAATAGAAATATAAGTTGGAAGTAAATAGTGCTTCTAATATAATAAGCTAATTGTTCAATACTGAGCATGGAATGATATCCCCTAGATAGCAAAACCAGAAGTGATAAGATCAAGAATGCTGTACTTGGTCACAATGAGAGCTAGATAGAATGGATAAGGATCAAATACCAAAACAAATATATGAAAGAAGAATGAATACTACAAGAGGAAGGGAGAAATAGAAAATTATTGGATGGTATTTATGATTGGATTTATGATCCAATTATGATGGGAGGGAAGCAATATAAAGAACAAAAGGTATCATGGAGAGAAGGATGGTTGATAAGGATAGAAAGATACATACTGAGAGTTACAGTGATTAATATTGCTACAAACTAGATTTATCTATTTTTTCTTATCTCATGTTTTAATTTATTTGGTTTATTTTTTCTATAATTTCTTGTCTCCTTTTGCAATTTGAATAACATTGCTTACTGCAAAAGATAATAGTTTGAGGCATGTATATAAGTCAGATGCAAATGTGTGGTTAAATCATATCTTTCTCTTAAAAGATACCACTAAATATGCTTTTCTGATCTCTAGCATACTTAGAAAAACTGTCACTGTATTCCATATTAGGGCCTACAGGGCAGGTGTATAACTATTATATTTTGTGTTCTACTGGAATCTCTAGACAGAAATACAAGCCAGAAAGCTAGAAAGAGAAGAATTTAAAAACTAAACTAATAAAAAACTTAAGAACTTCAATGTGATTTTTATTTTTATTAAAAAAGAAAAGGCACAACGAAGGGAACAAAATGAGAAAAGAAAATGGCCTTGTTACAAGTGGATTTTACCAAGTGTAGAGAAATATGACATTGCTTACCTTGCTTTCTACCATTCTGTTCAACAAGCACAGCTTAGAGGCAGAGCTAAGCACTTGTTCTTTACACTCAAATTAACCATGACTTTCAGTTTTTTACTTGATACAGGCTAGCTTGGAAAATGATGAGCAATCCATTACTGGAAATATTTAAAAAGAAGTGGACATCATCTATCAAAGATGATATCCAACATTGCTGAATTGACCACTGAAGTTGATTACATGATCACCGAGATTTATCCTACCTATATATCTAAATAAATGTATTGTTCTAAGATATAATATCCCTGTATTTTTCAATAGATACTGTATTAAAAGTCAAAGAGATAGAGACTGTTATATCCTTCTTCTAGGACCAGCTTCAGCTAGCCAGTTGGTTAGAGCAGGGGTCGCCAACCTTTTGGACCTCAGGGACCAACAAACTCATAATTTTAAATCCCAGGGACTTCTAACCGGTTCTGTGAGCATGGCCTAATTTGTGGGTGTGGCTTGGTGGTCATGTGATTGGCTGGGCATGGCTTTTATGTAAATATTATAAATATTTATATAAATATTGAATTTTTTATTAAAAAAGAGCAAGTTTTACCCAAAATCAGGCAATGCAGGCAGGCAGATTGAGTTGTTCACAGAATCACAGATTCATTCAGAAATCTATCTATCTGCCATTGGCTAGCTAAGTCTGTCACATAAAATTTGCTTGCAAGCAAACTCATAAATTTTGCTGGCAAGCAAACAAAATTAACTCACAACTCACCATGTATGTAAATATTGAATATTTTATTTTTTTAAAAAGAGCAACTTTTACCCAAAATCAGGCAAAGCAGGCAGGCAGATTGAGTTGCTCACAGAATCATTCAGTGTTCTATCTATCTGCCATTGGCTAGCTCAGTCTCTCAAATTTGCTTGCTGTGAGTCTGCACTGAATAATAGAACCTTCAGTCCTAAGGGAGGTTTGGCTGTGCTTAAAAGCAGAGCCAAAGATCTAAAGACTAGCTAGAAAGCAAGAAATCCAACCATTTCCTGTTTCCTAGCTAATTACAGCAGAACATCTGAGGTCGGAAAAAGGAAAAATAGCAATTTAGTAGGCAAGTTTGCTGAGTAAGGAGTGAGTGGGTGGGGAGGGTTCCCGTGGGCCATGTGGGCAGCACAGCTTGTGTTTCTGCGCAGCCTGGATTAATTGCTTTGGGAGGGTGCTCTGGGGGTGAGATTTCTCTGCGGCCCCCCAAAATTTTCTCATGGCCCACCACTGGCCCACTCGTTGGCGATGGCTGGGCTAGAGTACAGATACACTTCTTTTCTTAACTGCCTCATTTAGTAACCATTCACAGTTAGGACAGTGATGAAAAAATAACTTTACAACTAATCCTCACACCTACAACTTCGACAGGTTTTTTAAGCAAAGGAAAACTGAAGTAAAATCATAAGCGCAGTCATGACTTCACATAGTGACCACTTGCTTAACGACTGAGTTGCTGGTTCCAATTGTAGTGTTTCTTACTAGCATCTTTCAAATGCACTAAGCTACAACCCTGATCATCCCAGCCATCATGATCATTGATGTATGAGGTATATGTCTACAAGGAACCCTAAAGCTATTTTTTAAATCTCTTTATATTTTAGCGTATTAGTCATACTAGTATTAGCCAGAAAGTCAGTATCAGCAAGATCCAGATATTCATTTTATTTGAATGAGAAATCAGTCAGATGTTTTGAGTCACATTATGCAAACATATTTGAGAAATATAAATGAAATAATGAGGCAAATCAATAACAAGGTTCAAATTTGTTTTCTTTATGAATTCATCGGTGAGCCTTTGAAAAGTAAAGTCACTTTTGGTGAGAACAATAATAGTGACACAGGAAAACTT